ACAGACTGCATAATACAGAAATCAGATCCAATCAAAACAGATTGCGTTGACACAAATCGAACCCGTATTTAGCACGAACTAGGCTAGTTACAAATTAGGACCACCTTGATGACGCGTGATAGATTTAACATTGCAATTTATACCTTATTGCTTTCGATATAGAGTTTCGATAGTCAGTTTGTATGTTTAATTGCTGATCTAGGAATTGAATTGGCATTTAAATGTTGATTGCTGTGAGTTAAATAGGAGTAATGGTATGTATGTACAAACAGTCCCTACAGCAATCTAATAGAAATAACGATGTCTAAAACTGACACCTACTTGACACTTGAAACCTACTTGCCTTAATGAAAAATAAATTATTTCTACTGTTCAATATAATTAAATATAAAAAAATCACGCTTTCATTAATTGATTTCATGACTAACTTAATTTTAGCATTTTTCCAGCAAATTTTTACGAATTATGTATCCTGTTTGACGCTAAAAAAACGTGACGTCGCAATACAGGATCTCGTACAAAATTCGTCGAAAACTGTCGTTTCTGACAGTTCGAAAAAAGTATTGAATTAGACTGGTTGGCCAATGCCCAATTGCAAAGCTAATTTCAAATATACACTGACTTCTCCATTCATTAAGGACCTATTTGTACAACGCCATTTAAATTTTATCTGTGGAATAAGTTTGAATATCAATTCTTAACTGCCATATGTCTATTTTATTACAATTAATAATTCGATTCCGATTGTGAAATGAACTCCCTGCCGTGGTTTTCCTAGTGGGCTACAACATGGGGTTCTTCAAGAGCGGAGTGAATATGTTTCTTAAGAATGCTCCAAGTGTTGCAGACGTACATAGGCCACGTTAACCACTTACCATCAGGTGGGACGAGCGCATTTCATGCCACGTCGTGTTTTAAAATAAAATTACTGATGATTGAAAAATCAGCCCTTACCGCCGTACTTAGAGACATTTAATGGCTACTTAACTCAGTCCTTAGCAATTGTTTTCGGAACAAAATCTAGTCAATATAGTTACTAAGGAATAGTTATTTAAACTGTCAAACACCAAGCGGTCACCGGTGACCGCAACCTATTGTTCTATAATTCCCGAGCGTACGGCGCGTCGCGTTTCGCACGCGCCTCAAAGAGCCATCAGACCACCACAGATGGGGCCCAATAGGGCCGATGCCGATTCGGAGTCGCGGAGAACCTAACGGGTAACCGGGGCTCCGGCTCGACGTGCAGGAGTAGGAACGGGGTGATTTTTAGTCAGTAAGAGTCTGACACTCCCTCCCGCCTCACCCAGGCGGGAGCAGTCATTCGATGATTTTCCCCCCTTAAAAAAAAAAATTGTTCTATAATTGTGTCTATAATGACGGTACTCGACGAGTTAAGTATTATATGTATGTCTCTGAGTATCGCAGTTAGATCTATAACATAAATATTATATCATACAAAGAAAATAGATACACTGCAAATTTAAACAAAAATCATTAGAAATCTGACGATTTACTGATTTTAAAATTTTTCAATTTCCCGTATCAGGATGCTTCCGGCAACTGGGACCGCAATTACTTGGACCGCGGTCCCAGTCGCCGGGTACATAAAAATTTTATATTTTTCTTCCGGCGATTGGGACCACTCATATTCAAGATTTAATTGCTCAATGGTTGCTGAAATAATAACTATTAATATACGTGAACGTATGTCAGTAAGTTGAAGTCAGGTGTGTTGTTATATTGACCGAACGGTTACTGTTTACTGTATGTGATAAAGATACAAATAGAGGTGCTCCTCTCAACGTTACCTCATTTTATCCACTTAATCTTCTAGTAAAGTGATAACAGTTAGCTGATATAATTCCTTGAGTACTATAAGTAAGCTAATTGCTACACACCAGCCTAATTGCAGACTCCATGATTAAAATATTTGAAAATAGTCAGAATTTTCGAATAATTGAAGAAGTTTTTTTACATGTACTCAATATAAGTTAGTTTATTGTCATACACCGCACGTAATTCTTTGAAAAACCGAAAAAAACTCAAAAGCTACTTTGTCCGACCAGGGAATCTGAAATCCCGTACGCAGTAGTCGTAACATTCTGACCACTTGGCAAAAAAGAGTACTTATAAAATAATAGTTGTATAAACTACGTTTAAAAAAACTTCAACCCTTTTTATGAAGTCGGTTAATTAATATAAATATGTACTAAAACCATCCTAATTGTAAAAATCATTTTTCCGAAAACCGCATCATAATTGGTTTAGCCGATCATGAGATAAACGCCCATAAACATACTACGCAAACAGGAAACCTCCTTTTTTGAAGTCGATAAGAAGAGATCATAAATTAAAATGAGTGAATGTGTTCTTGACCTTGCTAATGTGACACACATCCGATGACCTCTGGGATAGACGTGTCTGGAGTTAAAATATCTATTAAATAATTTTGGCACGGATGCCACGATTTAATACTGACAATAATCTGTTGTATTGGCGGAATTCAAGGACAAATAAACTTACATACAGGCGGCATCGGTACAGTCGCCGGCATGTCAAATTCGTATTTTAAAAATTCGATTTTAAACTTTGAATTGATATTTAGGTATAAAGAGGATACTCCAAAGAAAAAGATTGGTAGACTGAAGTTAGTCGACAATATACCATACATTAACAATTACATTAACATTTTACATATGAATATCTTCTACTCCCAAACATAATAATATGATGTACGGAACACACTTACTTTAATTTGTGTGTTCCTAACAAAATTCCTAAATGCCAAGATTTACACGTCGAACAAACAAACCAAAAAAGACCCGGAAAACCCAGATTTTATCGGTGAAATACGCAATAGTGTAATGAATTGCAATAATTGAATTTACGGGAATGTTCTACAATGCTTACAAATCACTGACAGGTCAGACAATAACTACGTGATACCTCTAATGTTTGTGACTCACATATTTTATTAAAATTGTGAAATAATCCAGAAGATTGCATCTTTGTGACTATATAATTACAAAGCAATGACTGCGTGTAATAACATCACTATATTATGCAAGTAATGCTTTTTTTTTAAGGGGGGAAAATCATCGAATGACTGCTCCCGCCTGGGTACGGCGGGAGGGAGTGTCAGACTCTTAATGACTAAAAACCACGCCGATCCTTCTCCTGCACGTCGAGCCGGAGCTCCGGTTACCCGTTAGGTTCTCCGCGACTCCGAATCGGCATCGGCCGTATTGGGCCCCATCTGTGGTGGTCTGATGGCTCTTTGAGGCGCGCGTATGCTAAGTTATTCCACAAGACATAGATGTGTAAGTGTGTGTAGGTACGTCTACACACATAATAATGTCACACACTTTTATCCAGTTAATACCTATTTGTTTTTAGTAAAACGTATTTTTAATAAAAAAGTAGGGTAGGTACATGTGTCCATCCATACCATGTTTCCATCCATACCATCAAGGATCACCTGATGGTAAGCAACCGGCGTCGCCCAGACACCCGGAACACCAGAGGCTTTACAAGTACGTTATCGCTCTTTTGGGGATTAGGAATTTGAAGATTGGGAGGGGGGGGCAACACGATGCAAGCGTTGTTTCACGTCGGTTTTCTGTGAGGCCGTGAAGCTTTAACACTTAACTCGTTGAGTACCGTCATTATAGACACAATTATAGAACAATAGGTTGCGGTCACCGGTGTCCTATCGGTGTTTGACAGTTTAAAACCCTAGAAGTTAATAGAAGACCCTACTCTAAAAGTTTCTCCTATTTTTTGTTTGAAACACGATTTAGGTACTATAAGTGTAAACCTAAAATCACTATTGTTACTGTTTACCAGGTATGCCATCATATCTGGTTTGGCAGCAGAGTACATAAATTTTGGGTAACCTATCTAGGACCCTCAAATGGCCAACCCTCTCTAAAGGTGCTCTTTGTTTAGAAGAGAATGTATTCCAGCTGATTGTGATGATGACTAATTAGACATTAAAAGGACTTGGAATGCTTAAAAAGGTAGCAGTCCAGCTAAGACCAATATTGTTTTAATAACATAACACATAACATAACATCATGCCTTTTATCCCCGAAGGGGTAGGCAGAGGTGCACATTATACCACTGTACAATGTAACACCCACTTTTCACTATTTATGTTATGAGTCCCATGTAATAGGGGGTGAGCCTATTGCCATATACCGGGCACAATTCCAGACAACGTGCTACTACTGAGAATATTTAAAACCCAGTAATACTTTGCCCGACCCGGGAATCGAACCCGACACCCGTTGCCCGGCAGTCACACATACGACCACTCGGCCAACGAGGCAGTCTTCTTTGAGATTGTTTCAATAACATCTTACTAAACTTGTATGACGTTTGTAGGTATAAATAGGTAATCAAACAAGATAAGGAAAAAACTGTACGATCTAAACTAAATAACAAACAAATCTAGTACAAACAATGTTTTAAAATGGTGAACTTGTTATCAAATAAAAATGGGTTTAATATTGTTTTAAAATAAAGTCCTTTTTTGAGGTGCCAAAATAAAAAAAAAACAATGTAAATAAGTACGGTGGCCAGGTCAACCTATACAAAAAGAAAAATATATAGAAAGAAAGAAAGATAGAAAAATTGTTTATTTGCACACCGTCACAAAGTACAATAACACATCATCGTCATTGATATAAAGTCGAAATTTCAATAACAGATTAGAATGGCTTGATCTGCTGGCCACTATAGGTACCTACTTAATTGCTTTAAAAATAAAAATCCCAGTGCACAGCAATAGTTATTTTAAGAAACATAAAATTAGAAAGAATTTGAATGGACTGATAACAACACTGATGAAGACTGGGTGATCAGAAACTGAACCATCAGTATCTACAGTATGTAGGTAAACAAAAACTCCATATTATTGAACTGATCTTCGTCCATACTCCATACTACATATACACAGACTCGATTACCTGCTTCAATAAGACCTAAGATTACCTCACCTTAAACCTGTTTTGCCCAGACGTCGGCCCGGCGTACGGAACACCGTAAAACGCAAAATAATCGCCATCAACTGCTCTTGATCCTTCAACAATACCCTCAGTAGTATTCACTTGCAAACCATGCGCATACGCCGCAAGGAAAGACACAAACAAAACTTGCACGAACATGTTTATACACACACAAATACACTTTTCTTTTTTTAACACAGCGCACGCGCGCTCTCCGCTATAGACCGTGAACGAATGAGTGAATTTGTATTTATTATCTGTACCGCTTGGCTGTATTGACATTATCAGTGCCTGCAACTCACTATCAATGAGGTCATCGCACAGATTATATAATTTACTTAGAAAGGAGTTTACTTTTGTGATAAATGTATTTCTTATGCGTTTGTTTGATATGGGTAGCAAATATTAATATGAACAGCCCATGATAGTTCATTGCTAGGCTATATCTACAGAAGAATATTTGTCAGGCAGCATAGAATTGGATAAAGGGTTTATGAGAGGGAACTGCGGTTCAGCCTTCCAAATGAGCCAGCTCGCCGCCCGACCAGAACCAGACCCGAGCGTGCGGCACGACACGTTCCGCGCCTCAAAGAGCCATCAGACCACCATAGATGGGGTGCAATAGAGCTGATGTCAATACTGAGCCACGGAGATCTTAACGGGTTGCCATGGGCTCCGGCTCAAAGGCGGCAGGAGTAGGAACGGGGTGGTTTTTAGTCAGTAAGAGTCTGACACTCCCTCCCCCCTCACCCGGGCTGGTGAAGGCATTCGATGATTATCCCCCCCCCCCAAAAAAAAACCAATAAATATTCCAAATTCCCCTTAGTCGATTCTTATAACAAATGAGAAGATCAGGGGTGGCGACTAATGCATTTTGTTCTGCCTTCACCGTCACCTTACATAATATTTTGTAGGATAGTCAAATGCATCCGTGTCTATGTTTAGGAGTATAGTTATAGTTGTGTCGTGTGTGTGTGTGTGTGTGTGTGTGTGTGCGTGTGTGGGTGTCTAACTAAGGAGGTGAAGTGAAGAGGTTAATATGTGCATTCCTCTCTGCTTTATTTGGCTATTAAGCTATTATCTTGTCGTAGGTACTTGTTCTCAAGGTTATGAAGTCATCCTGCCTTATTAGGACGCTTATATTTTTCATACTTATCAACGATATCCAATAATCTTTTATTGATTTTTTATTTAACCATAACAGCTTTCTGGACTACCAATGTTCTTAGTGGGTTTTGGGTTGTAGACTAACCGTAATTGTTGTCATAGATTTTTGTAAGCAATCGATTTCTAGTTTCTAGATTCAGTCCGCTAACAGTGATTTTCAATAAAAAAAAATACGTAACAACTTAAATAAATGTATAATAAACAACATTTTTTGCCCGATTGTGGAATTAAACGTGCGTCACCTACCCAGTCACTATCTATCGTTCAGTTCAGTTGGACCATCAAATTTCATTGTTCCAGTAATAATCAAAATATTTACATGGTACATTATAAGTACGTGTGTTATCATCACAGAACATATAAAGAAGTAAATGTTCTGTGGTTATCATGATCCATGATGATAACGACAGGTTGAAACCAATCCACCATGACCCATGTCAATATGACAAACCAAATGACTCAGAGTTCTTCCCTAGTGGTCTTATCAATTTATTCGTCATTTGTTATTAACAATAGAAAATACCACAGTATTATTGGATTCAGTTGTCGTCTACAACAAATTAAATTTTACTTTGTGAATCATTATCCAGATGGTTTATTTTGTACCGAGGATGTGATTGTAATGTATAAGTGCACCCAGATATCGAAGATATTATAAAGTAGGACAATTAACTAATATCGCAGGTTACTCACGTGAATATACTGAGAAAAGCTCTACCAGTTTCGAACCACAGAGGGGTTCTTCCTCATGAACAGTATACGCGGTCGCGGTGACGTCGCGCAGCTCACTGTGGTTCGAAACTAATAGAGCTTTTCTCAGTATATTCACGTGAGTAACCCGCGATTTTAGTTAATTTAGTATGTCTCACGATAGTTATTATAAAAGTAGGACAATCTTTAAAAAAGTACCAATATGGAGTTGATTAACACCGAGAGTCACTAGTCCTCGTAAATAAATGTATTTTTTTAAACTTTTACGTACTCTCATGAGTAGTCATGAGCAAATAGAAAAGTATGCGATTTATACTGACTTTGACAAGTTATGTTCAAACTTGCCTACTCCCTTCAACTTCAGACCGTTGCCCCACACTATGGTTTTCTCCTGTGTCGTGGGTGCTTTTACAAACATACAATATCACATATAGTATATGACACCCAGACCCGAAACACCAATTTCTGGATCACACAAAGAGTTGCTCCGTGCGGGAATTGAACCCGCTACTCTTTGCTAGGCAGCCGGTTGCCGAGCCACCAGTCAGAATTGTTCGGTTAGTCGCAGTATTTTCATCATTACGACGTGAAATTGCGTGTAAGAATGGAACCATAAACCACAAGTTACTGATTGCAGAAGTATGTACATTGATATTGTTAGTTGTTAGTTAACCCAACCGCGCCTGATTAATAGCGATAAGCAATAAAACGCAGCCTAGTTACTTACACTGAGAAATATCGAAGGTGTGTACGCGTAGGTAGAAAAGTACTCAATTTTTTGTTGTTTTCGTTTTATTTATTACTGAAGAGTCCTATTTGAATGTTTGACTGATAACAAATACTTCAGTATAAATAAAGTACACACGGCCACACATCAATCTATACAAAACCAGTTTATCTTGGTGTCGCGTTGCATCATCTTTCCGCACATTTAACGTTCAGTTTATACTGGTTATGTAAAGCTCCATGTGTAGCCGTGTGTACAAGACTCAAAGGACAAAATGACATTATCGTATTCGTAAACCACAATTTAGGCACAAAATGATATCTAGGTAATGTTATTTTAGATCAAAACTGTACTTAATCATTCGCAAGATTAACCTGATTAGAATTTCAAGGTTCCAGTGTAGTGGCACTTCAAGTTGTCGACATGTGGGATGCGGACTCAGCGACCTTAGTTCTGGTTCTAATTCAGTTCTGAGTTCGTCTGAAGAACCTCTTCTCCGCCAAGCTTGGTTAAGAGCATGATTAGGTCTTGGTAGAAATACTATAATCAGCTTGTGAATGCGAAAAGTCTTGCCTTTCTGTGAATGTGTGAAAGTAATATTTATTTTCTCAAAAATCTGTCTGTCTGTTGGCAGTTTTGTAGTAAAGATACAAAGATAAAATAAAATGACTGCACGGCTGGGCAAACGACTGATGCGCAACGTATCGCGGGTTCGATTCTCGCATGAAACAACTCTTAGTGTTTGAGTGAACCACAGATTGTTGATACGAGTCTGGGTGTTATGTGTATGTGAACTTGTATATTTGTAAGCTCACACGGGAGAAAAAGTGGGGCAATGGTTTGTTAAAGAAAAAAAAATAATTCTGACATAGCTACCTATGTCAGAATTCTACTATTAATTCCTTGGTAAAAAGTCTATCTTTTATTTGGCTACCAAAATACTATCTCTAATAAATAAACCTGGTATAGGTAAATTACAAATTAAATAAAACAGAATGTTAGTTATTTTATGAAATTCTTATGTATAGATATTGATATCTATATATCTATGTCTATACATATAATAAAATCGTAGGAAAGTGAAAACTGTAATTACATCAAATATTTTTAAAAGAATACTTTGGGCGAGATCTACAGTCACGCCGAAACCAAAAATATGGTTTTTAGAATGTTTGTCTGTTTGTCTGTATGTATGTCCGGGATGATCTCTAAAAGTACTGCATGGATTCACTTTAAACTTTGCATGAATATTACTAACTGGTTGGGTCAACATATAGGCTACATATTATCGCTCTATCATCTACGGGGGAGGAGCCCTATACTAGGTATCTACTGAATCAATTCTGATGACATTCGTTACCGCAGAATATCCCTTGATGAAGACTAATTCAAAAGCCTAAATTCTGACAGAAGTCATTATTCTACGCGGTCGAACTCGCTGGAAACAGCCAGTTTCCTCTAAATTAATCTTGAAGGGAAACTGAAACTAGTGTAATACTATGCTTAAGTACGTAACACATTCCGTTGAATATCAACACCGCGTTCCGTCATTGAATAGGTACTTACCTGATACAGAACATAGGTGTTTGTGTGCTTAAGGTATATAGGCACTACAGTACATAACAGTTAAGACTAATATAAATAGGAGTGTGTAGACTAAAATCGATTACGTACATCGTACATCTAAATGTCGTGCGTAACGTAGCTACGTACTACGCTATGCAAAGGTGGAGTATATTAATTTAGAATGTTTGTAAAAATGTGTATTACTGGGTTTTTAAAAAATTCTCAGTAGTAGCACGGAGTCTGGAATTGTGCCCGGTACATGGCAATAGGCTCACCCCCTATTACATGGGATTCATAACATAAATAGTGAAAAGTGGGTGTTACATTGTACAGTGGCATAATGTGCACCTCTGCCTACCCCTTCGGGATAAAAGGCGTGATGTTATGTTATGTAAAAATGTGCACTTTATACTAAGAGGTCTATATGAGACTACGGAAAAGAGTCTGGAGATCAAAAGACTAACGTTATGTGATATTATAGGTACGCCCAAATACTGAAAGGCTATTCAATTCGTGCTTAAGTATAGTTCTGTCACTATAAATTCTTTGTAAAATGACAGTGATGGCACGATATTTTTTTTTAAGTCGGGAAAATCATCGAATGACTGCTCCTGCCTGGGTGAGGCGAGAGGAAGTGTCAGACTCTTTAAAAACCACCGTTCCTTCTACTGCACGTCGAGCCGGAGCCCCGGTAACCCGTTTGGCACGATATTTAAGTGCAATTTATAATTAGCCTTTCAATATCCAGGGGTTAATTTTTAATAACATAACATAACATAATATAACATAATATAACATCACGCCTTTTTATCCCCGAAGGGGTAGACAGAAGTGCACATTACGGCATTTAATGCCACTGTACAATG